GAACCTGACACCTTGTACTTCTGGAGACTCCAGGAAGGTTGCAGTTCTGGAAAATAGTGGCGCTGGAGACTAAATGCTTCCTGATGGTTTCACACCTAATTCTTCACATTAATTATGAATTCTTTTGCAGTTAACATTTGTCTTTTCTTCTTCACCTGTTTTTTTCTGACCCCGCTGTCCCAGTGAGCATTTTGCTGACCAATGGTCATCTGCGCGTATACAGTCTATGGTCAACACACACGGTTTTTTTTCGCGCTCCCCCATCTCCACCCCCCCCCCCAATCATTAGTGCCGCTTGTTCGGTCTTTGACAGAACATATACGACAATTTTTTAAATAGCGCCATAAAATTTATTTCAAATTTAATTCAAGCACTTTCAAGGACCTATGTTTGTTTTCAAGTACTTTCCAGGCCTTGAATCCATATGTCTGAAATTCAAGTACTTTCAAGAAGCGTGGGAACCCTGTGCTTGGTTTGGTGGAAATTCTAAATAAGAGTCAGAGAGCATGAAAAGCAGGACATGCTCAGAGTTACACAGGCCCGTAAACCATTCGTCTCTTAACATCTAATGCAAAGCCAAGTGCAGCTAGTGCAGGCCATACAAGGGCTAGTCAGCCCACTTACATATCGAACTTCCCTTCCAAGCATTGCAGAGGAAGATTTGGGGGACTGCAGAGAAATATGGAAATGTCATGACGAGGGGCGGAATGAAAGCACATAGGCCATCAACCAGAACACTACCCGAATGAACATGTAAACTAGGCCTGACTTTGACCATGCAAAACACCTGCATAAATCTGTAAGCCTTACCCATGGAAAATGTTTGACAGTCGCATGAAAACAAATGAGAAAAGAAAGGGCTGATGATGCAAAGGGAGTGAATACGCTCTGAAATGGTACTGACCTGTGAGTTGTGTGGAGAGTATGCAGCATCTCGGACAGGACTGTCAATCATGTGAGGCTCAGACGGTGAAGACTGAAATACAAATAAAAGTTACATCCATCATGCTTGAGGTCAGTGAAGTATTGCACAAAGCAAGCAACAAGCAAAATTTGCCAAATTACAAAGTAGTGCATTAACAATAAATGATCATGTGCAGGTTTATAAAAGCAGTTCATCTTGATTTGATAACATTAATAGCAAACCATAAACAACTGCCTTAAGCAGGTTTTAATATGCTTGCACATTGCAGTTCTATTTCTTGCTCTTACAACATGCTTGATGACAAATGTGTTGTATTCCGTGCCACAGATCATTTGTAATCAAGCAGTGATGCCATAAAAATGCATTTTTTAAAACAGTGTCAAGAACATAATGTCATGCTACAGAAAATGACAATGTAATTAACGTTTCTTTAAAGACCATAGTGTTTCATATTCCTGTAAATGGTTGGTGGCTAGTCTGTATCTAAGGTGAGAGGCCTTAACCCTTCACCCTTTTTGTTCAGCACCTGTTGACTTCACATTTAAAGCATTCTTAGTCTCTCTGGGAATGTTCAAATGCCTCAAGACCATAAGGTTATACACATTACAGGGTCCCATTTTTGTATGTGCTTCGTTTTCTGCTTCACCTATTTTCAAAATATAGAACATTTATATATAGACATGAACATTTCTGTGAAACAATTTTACAACCTAAGGATGCTTTCAAAGACATCTGTAAATCAAAAGCAGCTATCAGTAGAAACCTTTGGATGGCATTTGCGATTGAAGTGGTATGTTAACTCTAAATAGCTACTGATGACACACCATGCTTGACCAGAAAACACACTCTGTCAGAAAACACACTCCTCAAGGCTGCTTGCCTTGTACAACCAGGGCTGCAGCTGCCCATGCCTGCCATAGCCCACAGGTGGCCCTGATAAAATGCGCTCCTCAGGAGGGCAGCCTTTGCTCTTGCGATTAGCCACAAGGAAGGGATTTTCACTAAAGCAGATTGGCTTGGAGTCCACAAGACATTCTTCTTCCTCATTAGCTTCTTGTGGGACTCCTAGAGCTGGGATGCGTTCCCGTGTGTCGGCTTGGGGCTGTTTTGAAGCAGCTGAACTTGCGGCTGAGCAGACTGTAGACGAAGGGAGGGCAACGGGTTCTACATGGTACATAGAAGCATGGACTTTCTCAAAACCCAGGGGGTCTACAGGGCCGGCCGGCACGGCAGCCTCCATTGTGAAGAATGTAGCAAAAGAGGGCGAAAACTGAGGAATGAGAGAGAGAATACGATCGACAGAGACAAAAGGGAGAAATAACGTGAGAAGGAAACCAAAACAAATGAAAGAGCAGAGCAATTAATGATACACAAACGGGGGAAGAAAATGACATACATCACATAAAAAATTAGAACACAGCAAATGTAAAAGCAAGGAAAGGAAAAGCTGTAAAGAGTGAAACAGATGGGTTTAGTCTGGCAGAGTTGGAAGGAATAACAGCCATGCTAAAGTTACAATCATCTACTAGTCACGCCGATTCAGATGAGTGAAGAGCTAAATACAGCTCTCCCATCATCCTGAGACATCTCACAGTAGACAGTCACTCAATCCAGAAGAACTTCTGCACTTAATCTGCTGTGTTTGCTGTAATATAGACTTCAGACTTGATAGATTAGGTCTAAATTGAAAGAAACTGAATGAGAAAATTATATAATTTTAAATGAACTTTTATATTTTCAGTTTTAATTTTGATTTTTAAGTAATTTTGTGCTTGTCAAGTTTTTTTTTTATATATTTTTATTTCAATATTATATTTTTTATTTCAGATTTAGTTTTAGAAATGCAAGTACTTAAATTTCAGTTAGTTGCCAAAGCAACATTTCTTTCTTGATTCAAGTTTTTAATCTAATATTTTTATATATTATTTCAGCTTTATTTCAATTACTGAAAGTTATTTTTAATAGTTGTAGCTAACAATAACAATCATTCAGCGTAGACATAGTTACTACACTTTGTTTTTGTAGGGACTAGGGAGGTATTTACAATTAAAGGGGTCAAAAATCACAGTGGAGTCAGCTTTCTTAAATCGCGGCTTGTGTACTGCAAATACATACGAGCATCATCACTGTGTCGGTCACGCGACTCTGTTCCCCTTTCGGGCTATCATTCAAACACGGCCCCACATCTCTACATCACGATGTGGAAATATTTGCGTAATGCCGCCCAAATGTTCATGCTAAGAAAGGCGGCGTGGTTTCAGGAACCGCAGTAGTGTTGATGCAGCTATGTCAGGGAGACGCTGTGTTTCTGTGCAAAACCAAAAGCACTTTATTTGGCCTTCCGAAAGTAGATGCAATGAGGAATCATTGGTTAAGATTTATTTACAACAGAACAGCACAACCCAGATGTTCGAATTTGTGCAACGCATTTTATGGACCACAGTTTTGTGAACCTAGGAGAGTAACCTACAAGGCTGGCTGTGCAAAGGCTATTTCTAAAAAAAAATGGGTCAATTCT